TCGCGGCACACTGCGTGGTACATGTCGGTCTTGATGCCACCGGGTGCAACGCAGTTGACGGTGATCCTCTTCTCGCCAGCATCTGTAGCTTCGTCAGTAAATGATGTGGGTGTGAAAATGATCCGACTTACCGATAGCCATGCACCTGGTGAAGGTCTCAATGGCACCCTTTGAGCCGGAGTAGACAGCGTGCTTGGGTACACCCTTGGCCTGACCAGTGATGGATCCCATAAGGATGATGCGACCACCCATCTCCATCCTCTTGTACGCCGCCTTAGCGACGAAGAACTGACCACGGGTGTTGATGGTGAAGACACGGTCGAACTCCTCGGGTGTGACGTCCTTGAAGTGACCGAAGGAGACGACACCAGAGTTTGAGCAGCAGATGTCGAGCTTGCCGAAGTGGGCAACAACGTCATCCATCAGCTTCTCAGACTCCTCGACGTTGCCAACGTTAGCCTTGAAGGCAGCGGCATCTGAGCCGTTACCAAGGGCCTTGATCTCCTTGACAACCTGCTCAGCTCCCTCGACGGCGTTGGCGTAGTTGACGGCGACCTTTGCGCCACGCTTGGCCAGCTCAATGGCCATCGCCTTTCCGATACCACGGCCTGGGTGATAGTTAGTATTGTAGATGTGATCTTGGATATGCTTGAGCTTACCTGAGCCGGTAACAACGGCGACCTTGCCGGCAAGGCTCCATGTCTGCTCGATTGATGCCATTGCGAATGTGTTGAGGTGGGTTTTTTTGGTGTTGGGTGGAGGATCGAAGTGTAGAGGTGGTTGTAGTAGTGATGAGAGTGGTTGTGATGATGATTTCCTTCCACGGTCAAGACGAAGACATATATACCCTTTCGCTATTCGGAACTCCAGCGGAGACCGCGTTCAATGAGTAGCTCTTTTGCATCTAACCCACCACCGGTATCCCAACATCCATACGACTCCCCCAACTCAATGCCTCCGGTTCGGCACATAGCATCGCCCCCAAGAGTCGTGAGTCCTAGGGCTGAAACAGTGTGTACCTGCGCCGCACCTGTCCCGTAGCGTGGTCCCCGTCCCCGTAGGAGAGCCTGAGCCTCAGGGACAGACTTCGGACAGAGGGGCCGAAGGGCTCAGGGGCTCTCATCATTGGTCGACTCGCGAGATGCTAAGGCCGGCCGAGCAACAACAAACTTCTAGAGTCTGTTTGTGACGCGCCTGTCCGTTTCATGAGATCAGAATATCTTTTTTTGTCGACTGCGAGTAATTTTGGCACTCCATTGAGTTTTGCTGGTGAAGCACCAGGTATGACAACGTGAGAAGCCCGCGTTTGGCGCTGGAGACGACTCTCAGGGCTGGTGCGACGCCGATGGCATCGCAACGTCTATTTTCGCATCCTCGGATGTCCGCAGTCGACAGAGAGCATCTGCTGCGAGTTCTTGCACCGTGCTGTGAAGCGAGCAGAATAGAACTTCGCTGTCGACAACTCCGTCTATCGTAAGCCCTAAGGCCATAGACGTTCCTGACGATCCGACATGGTCATGTGACTTTTGAAAGTGAATCCCTGGAAGGTTTAGCCTGCAAACTCTCTCAGGGTTCGGCAGGACCTCGACGTTTCTCAACACCACAGTGCACAGTGCTGGAACCTCAATGGCTCCCCATGCACCAACGGTCATCATGAATATCTTGGCACCGTGAACTCCGGACGCAATCCGGTAAATGGGAGTGTCCTAGAAATCGGCACGAATCCGTAGCTAGGTGTCGCAATCAACGACGGGCGCGGCCGGCTTCCACAGCGGGGATCCGCCGACGTCTTCATTGTCCGTGCGTATTCTTCCTCACTTCATCTTCAAAGTGTCGTACTGATGAGTGTAGAAACTCAGGCAGTGAATAGCAAGCTGACTGCATCCTCATTTCGAGTTTACGGATCGTTCGAAGATAAGAATCCTGTGCGCAAATTAAACCGAGTCTAGAAACGAGCCACCAGATCCCAGCATGTACGACGACGGCGCATCTCAGTCTTTATCCAGATTACATACCTGGATTACCAGCATAATGTGGCTACGCGTCTGCGTCGGATACTTGAGTGCTTACAGGCCTCATCTTGTAAGCAGAAAATGAGTTCGCCGGCCATGGTGTCTTATCAATTACGCCCGCCGACCCAAAGATCCAAACCATGCGCATATCCACCCCGTTTTATTGGCTTTTTCAAGCCGGGAATGGCTCGCCGTTGTGCGATGAACTGTCAGTGCAGTGCCGATATATCCAGCACTTGCTAAAGTTTCGGATCTTTTTGTGTGACGCTTCGGCTCGTGCATACACCCTTTCGTACCAGCAGAAGAATAGCAACGACGCGAGAGAGTCGCTTGAGGTTGGCCATTGCGCACCCAAATAGTACTCAAGAGTAAAAGTGCTTGGGCGATACTTCTCGTTAAAGGGTGCTACGCGTGAAGAAGCCTACTGTTGATACTTTCGCATGATGCCAGCAACACAGCAGAACATGGCGGATGATACTTCGTCATCACGGCATCATTCATCGAGAGCTATGCAACCTGGAAGACTATGTGCCCACTAATCAGTAGTTTTGCTGTCTGATTGCTCAAACTTTTTGAGATGGAGTATCACCGTACGAATCACCGGCGAACAAGTGCTTCCCGGCCTGAAAAAGGGGTAGCGTAGTCATCTTGGAGAGCTCTTTTGTGGACTTGTTGGAGCTATGCCTGAATCGCTTCGTTTTCCCCTCAGTCCGTTTCCCGTCAAGCACATAGCGGTGAAAGAGGCTGTCACTGGGCCCTCCACGCGACCGTCTGCCAGATCGCCCTGTACTAATGCGTCTATCCCCGGGACGATCTTGGTATACATTATCGAACCCTCGCGTTTGTGTTCATGACATCTTAGTGATGAACTCCTTGTCTTCAATGCCGGTACAAACATGTTGTGGGTGACTGAGAATCTGAAGTGATACTTGATCTCAACAGAGATCTGTGGAATGCTACATAGGGCATCAGTAACGCAGAAAAGTTTCACTGGCCACAAACCGTTCGGATACTACCCGGTAAGTCCCCGATGCTTGAACTCAAGCTCGGCTGGCATACGGAAGTGCATTGATCGACACTAGGCATGTCTTTGACTAGGATAGCGCAACCATATCACTACATCCACCACAATCTTTTGATAGGATGTAAGCCACGAACGGCGACGAAAACCTCCGATTCACCGACCGTTAGATGGAACTCACGAGGGGTCACTCGCGTGTTCACCACGCTGTGACGAGTGACATACACCAAATCTCGATGGCACGGTCCACATTTTCTAGCAGTTACGGCTATCGTGCGGGCATCCGTAGGCTTGGCATGATGCTCGTATTAGACATGCAGATTGGAATAGAAACCATTGATCTGGGTACATAGATTCTGTAAATGGTCCATCATGTCGTAGGTTATTGGGATGTGTAACAAGGTCCACTTGCGGCCGAAGTACTCTAACCGCTCTTGTGCATTCCAACAGCCAGGCATCTCAAACAGGGCTGCATATGTTGCCTCTGAATGCCAGTAATCACGCTGAACGCGTAAGCTTGTCAGGCAACGAGCCTGCAGGTAGACGTCTTGGTACCGGCTTTCTGTCATTGTGATACCGAAGCATGCTGCATACATCCACCCCTCAACTAAACGGGCAGAAGTAATCTGTGTAGTAGCTGCATCGGGAAAAGACTTTCATTCTCCGAACACCTTCAGGGCTTACAAAGTACGTGAAGCCGCGATTGTAGGGGGCGTTACCAGTTGTTCGGATATGATGACGGGTTTGGAGACATCAGCACGGTTACCGGAGGGTTCATCGAGACATAGTACGATCTGGGTAGAGCGGCGCCTCCATAGTGTGACGAAGTACTTGCATAGCGTCCGGGGAAAGAGGAGAGGCGAAGTGACTACATCGAGGAGGTTGAGGTACGTGCCTCAACACAGCTTGCATTCCCTACAGTGTTAAAACAACCCATAGAAACATATCGCAGGCACGGTGCTACGCAGATCGAGTTAAGGAGCCCAAACACGACACACTAGCTCTTTCGACTTCCTTTATCACTTCTTGCTCTCTTAACTCAGAGCTTCCGCTGCTCTCGCGTCCTCGCATATGATGGATACGCGTTCTCTCCTGGCCCGTCTGCCACATACGGCACATGATTTGAACACCCCGCCGCCGTAGTGCCGCCCTTACACACACACCACTCGCTCTCTTAGCCGACCCCGCCATCAAGCCTTCAAACGCGAAAGACACCAATTACCTACGCAACACCACCCATGCCCTGCTTACACTTGAAACACACACGCGGGTTAAGGGAAAAACGAAGCAATGAAAACACCGGCAGACGGCGATGACGGAGGGGCTTGGCGGGGTGAAAGGTTATATGCGTTGCACTTCAGCCGTTACGCATATGTTCATCATATCCTCGCCCGTCATGCTAATGAGAAGCCCCGCATCCACCAGCGCGGCATGAAAAGGGCCCTTCTTCTTAGGTTCAGGACTACCTACGACTAGACGTGGTCAGCGAGCTGGCATCGATATCTCTACACGGGAGCCACCTACCCTCATTCACATCAAGCCCTTCGAGAGATTATGGGAAGCACGTAACATCCTTCATCGACACCAGTCATTTGTGATACACAGGTTTGTCGTTCCCGTAACCGGTAGGTGCCATTTGACCATCATGTCTATGTACTATACATTAATGGACTACGCTGCAGTCATATCAGATGACCGCATTCCAGGCACGACGCGAATCAGCGACCGAGACGAACATCACTCGACGCCGAAGCCATGTGTATGCCTTTGAACGCCATCCAACGCTTGGAACCTGACGTATATCCCTCCCAAGCATCCTGGATCGCCGATGCTGATGAAACACTGCCGAAAAGAGATGGAAAGAGGCAGATAACGATAAGGCAATAACGCCGATACTCCCGCTAATACATCATGAGCTTGTGTTGGCGCGACAAGAAAGAGAAAGAAGAGATGGAAGAAGTATGATGTTAACCGCGCGCAAGTTTCTCGAGTTTACTACGAATGCCATCGGAAAACCTGGTGGCGACACCCTCGTCAAGGACATCGATACAATGCGACAGGACGGCAAAGCCGTTATCCAGTGGAACAGGGCTACCATCGCGCTTGGTCAAGGTGGGAATACCCTCCCTCCGTGACATGTACCTCAGTATGGTTGGGTGGTCAGCAGAGAGGCGATCCACAGAGAAAGCAGTATTAGATGGCTGATATGTCCCTTGATGGTTGGGACTCAAGGACTCGTTGTGAGCGAGCGAGTCAGCCCAGAAGACCAACCCTGCCCGATAGACAGCACCAGCCCACCACGGCGGGCGAATGCCTCGTGGCATCTCACGAATGAGGCGAAGAACTTGGCCAGCGTGAGTGATGGCCTCCTGCACATCCGACAAGCACTTCTTGTGCATCCACAGCATCTGTTGATACGAGCCGTCCACACCCTCCCGTCGGGCGAGGCGCTCAATCTCTGGGAAATTTGACACAGCATTCATGCTGATAAGATGGAACATGACGAGATTTGCTTGCATCATCGGACATACTGGGTTCGCCTTCATGTACCGTTGCGCCAAGTCGAACCACCGCCCCAATAACGCCTGTACCTCTTCTAGGCGTACGCGAGTCGAAGCAGCTGTCAATGCCCGATTCCGCGATCGAGAGGCTACACTGTCGGAGAAGCAACTGAGGAGTTGGCAATATTGGCACACAAGGGTCTGCAGAGGGTGCAGTAGTAGTCGCAGGTGCATCGGGGTCAGATGAATCTCCTGAACATCCTGGACGACTATCTCGTCATCTAGGAAGTAGCGGAAGAGATCTCTGAGACTCGGTGGTCTTGCTCCAGAGCCTACTGAGGAGTATCCATTCGAGAATTCATGGACCTGGTTGAACATCTCCGACCACTCTGGAGCTGTCTGCGCCTGCCAGAGTTGATCTGAATCAGGCATTGGCGCGCCAAATTCTGTTACCGAAAACAGGGGAGCGGTATCGTGGAATAGCGATAGGTCTTGGTCTACCATGACCCAAGAGTAGATGAGGCTACACGATATTAGTAAGTGCGCGCACGTGACAGTACCGAGGTTTTCAACACTTACCGGCTGCGGCTTTCTTGCTGAAGCCAGTCCTTCCACAACACATCCGTCGAAGTGTTTCCATTCATGTGAGGCGTGGTAGGCGGTCGAACATCGAGAATACCGGAATGTCGTAACATGGAAAAATACATGCCGCGCTGACCCATGGCGATGTCCATCTGCCACTTGTCGCCACTCCACGCCGCTTGAACAGTGAAGAGAAGGGCCGCCCTCAGGACAATAGGATCGCCAGCCATAATGATGTTCTTCTCGATGAGGTCGAACAGGGATATCCGACATGCCTCAGTAAAGCCGCCAGTCAGCCATCTCGCTTCTATGGACGGAATGGTCATAGCGCCCTGCGCAATCATCATGAGAATGAGCAAGCTCGAAGCTTTGTCATTGTAGTTCTGCATCAACTCGTTGGTGTCGAGGACTCCTCTGGCCGAGGTAGGATAATAGCGTTCGAAAGAGTTGGCGTACGACTTGAGGAAGTACTCCAGGACACGAGCAGGCGGAAGAAGAACGAAGTTGGAATGTGAAGCCGTAGATCCTGGAGACTCGCCACTACTAGACGAGCTGCTCCCATCTTTGTGGATATCTAGAGCCTTGTGAAGGAAGCTCTGTGTGATCGCGAGAAGTTTGTCTCGTGTGGCTTCCTGGAGTTTTGACACGGCGATCTGTCCGCCTTGTTGGAAATCAGATTCGTCCCACGATGGGGTCCAGTTAGCCCAGCCCTCATGGTTCTTCAGGCTCAACTCTAATCTCTCAAGATTCAGCCTTGCGGTCCGCGGACATGAGCTCGAAGCGATAGAAGGAGTGCAACGGAAGACCGTCCAGCCGTCTTGGGCTGCGATAATGGCGCCAAGATCAGGGATGCCGGCGTCCGCTATTGAGGAATGTCTGTTAGAGGGGTAGAACATCGAAGCCGAACTGCCGATTTGCAAGTCCGAGAACGATTCGTCCACCATACGAGGAGTCTGAACAGGCTGTCCGAATGTTTGCGCAGGTGACATTTCGGGTATCATACTAAGGATACCGTCTTGGGGCGGTCCCATCGTCATGTCCATGCCCATGGTCATCATCAGAGCGGGGTCAATCCGCATAGGATCGTAACTCGTATCCATGGGCATCGAGTGCCAAGGATCCATCATGAATTGCGGGCTCTCATTTTCCGGTTGATCGCGCACTGTCCTGACGAAGTCGTCGTACCCAGACATGGGTGTCGAAGAAACAAAACTATTCATGCCCGTAACTGGTGTGGGAAGAGGTGAAAGTAATGATGAGGAATGAGACAGTCCGTTAGAGGGTGACTGATCGAAGAACGGGGGAGTATTCGAGATAGGCATGTGTATGTGGAGCGACTTCTCCTCGGGGTTCATGTGCGGTGGTGGTTGCACTGGATGTGAGATGGAAGGATTCCGCGAGTGGGGCGCTGAGGGAGATTGCGATTGCCGTTGCGATGGAGGTTGGCTGTCAGAAATCTGGCTAGGCTGCTGAATTTGAGATGGAGACGACTGAGCGGTTGCTTGTTTCGACTGGCCATCGTGGTTTGGAGAGACATTGCCGGATGTGTTCTGGTTATCCGCGTTGCTACCACTCTCGCTAGAATCACCACTGCCTGTTTCAGGAGGACCTCCTACTCGTTGGACACCTTTCGATGCTCGCCGTGTAGGACGTAGAGTACACTTCAGGTTCCTTTGAGCGCACCGGGTGCAAGGAAACTTCTTGTCGCATTTCGTCTTCGTCTTTGCACAATTACTGCAGGCGATGGGTGTGCGGCCGGCGGACTTAGGTATGATGCCTTGCGGTGGGAGGCCTTCTTCGTTGTTCTGGTTGCGGCCGTGTACGGTGTAATGTCTTTGCAAAAGATCTCTGGAAAGATTGTCAGCGTTTCGTTCGGTACGGAAATTATGACCAAACAGGAAGAGGAAGGAGCGCACGCAGGGTGGGACTTACCGTCGAGCAAAGCTCATATGACATGTAAAGCACTTGAATGGCTTGACATTGGTGTCTGTTTGGCATTGACGGTCAGCGGAGATGCTACGGAACGATCGGATTGAACTCGACATTGCGGAAATCCACCCTCATGGACAGAGCAAGAGTTGACTTACGAGTTAGGATATGTCGTTCGAGATGTTCGTCCCTGGTGAACGACTGTCCACAATATGTGCAGAAGACCATTTTGAATCACGGATTGGACGTGTAGTCCTGGAGAGAGCCTGGCTGTAGATGTTGTTCAACACGATAGTGGTTGACCGAGATGTAGTAAGAAGGGTGCGGGGACGGCGTGCTGTACCAAACTTCAGAAAGAGAACAATGCCATAGACTGCAAGGCGGGGATGTCAAGGCAAAAGAGTGGTTGGCAAGGTTCAGTCAAGTGGGATCAGAATCGTGGAGTAATAGGTCCGAAGTCCGGTAGTCCTGGAAGGTCTCTAAAACGGGGCGGACATGGAGGCCAGTCTGGAGCTAGGTGGAAATAGCAGACGTCAAGTCGATGGCAAGACGTTTTCGTTGGGACGTCAGACGGAAGCCGTGATTAGGACGGCTGTGGAGCTGACTGCAGAGGAAACCGACTAGCAGTGGTCTGAGAGAGACAAGGTCAAGATCAGGCCCGGTTGTACAGCTGTTTTGGAGCAGGCTGAGCAGGCTCGAGCGGGCGGAAAGAGATGTATAAAGATAGAAGATTATCACGGGAGGGGAGTTGACGTGGGGAAAGGTATTTCTCGAGGCTCGAGTACGTATAGAGGTAGGCAATGTAAGAGCGGGTTTGACTAGCGGCTTTTCCCAACAGGGAGTGTTGATTATGCATCTGAGCGACGATGAATTCATCAATTGGGGAGGGATCCAGCTGCACGAGAGGATGAGCTAGTGCCTCGCAGTTACATGCAGCGCGCCAGGCTCTTGGGTGGGTCGAGCCTGACCCGGTTAGCCCAAGATTTGTTTGAGCGACCAGGGGCATCTGCACGGCGTTGATAACAAGACTCAGCAGTAACAGGGATACATCTTGGAGATCTGCACCGCGGACTAGATTGGTGGAGGGGAGGCCCAGCGTGGTGGAGGTTCGTGCTGAGAGTGACGGGGGACGAGCGCCGAGCCCGCGTCAGCCACAAGTCCGCGAACCGAGCGCTGGCCGCATGGCTCCCTGGGAAAAAAGACAGCGAGACACCCGTACACCCGTAATGTATTCTGTAATACGACAATATTACTGCCACGATCGGCACCCGCCCACACGTCGAATCAGCACCAGCGGGGCCCTTGGATCTGCTGTAAGATACACCAATGTCTCTATATAGACGCTTCCGAGCAACCCACTAACGTTTCTGGCAGCGGTGAGCCCGCCTCAGCCCTCGTTCGCGAGCGATACGAAGCCTCTCGCGTCTTCATACTCGCGCGGGTACTGATGGGCACCGCACACGAGATAACACATAGGCATGTCAGCATCACGCGGCTGAGTCGTGGTTGACAGGTGCCGACTCGGAGCATGAGCAGCTCTCTGCTCGTATCAGAGCCTCAATACAGTTTGTTGTCTCCGTCCGCGGCCACTAATAAAGTCAACGACTGAAATCTTGTGTACCTCGCCCGAGGCCATTGTCGTTCAATTGTATCGATTTCTGGCCAAGGTTCGCGCTTCGCAAGGCCATTGCAACAGTGGCTCTGCGCCAACCGAATACCCCACTTCGATTTGACGCTCACACGGTTCGCTCAGACACTCTTACTCTGTCCCCGTACTTCGGTGGGTCGTCAACTGTTTCGAACGGTGAGCCGAGTGCGTCACTGGCGTTGGCGTGGCTAACATTATCGCGGGCGCCATGGCAGGTTCGAGTAGCGTCCTGCTTTGCTCGTCCTACGGTCGCACGTGATCTCGGAACACAAAAAGTGGTTCTATTACAGCTTCATCCTTAGTCAACGCAGGGCGCTTTCGCGATGGCAAGGCGGTGCGTTTGACACGTCTGAATGCAGTGTTCCGCCTCTAGTCACAAGCTGCTTCCTCACCGTCAAAGTTGTTCTGTTCAACAGTGAATTGCTTTATTTGGCGATCAGTTGCGGTCTACTTTGACAGCTTTCGATTCTGCTTTTTCCTCTGGTCGCGACTGTAACCAAAGTTCGATGGGCGGTCACGGTACCGCACGAATCAGTTGCTGGCCCCAGCTTTACCTAGACACTCGCGGCATGCCGCTGAGGCTAATGTCGCGAATGCACCACCCAGTCAGGGTGTAATCTTCACGCCTTTTACCTCATTTTTCCATGATGCAAACGATATGGGAAGTACTCCGCAACGCCCAAGCACGCCATGTATGTAGACGTGCGCTGGCCTCACGACAGAGGCTACCTGAGCATTGCAATCAAATGGCAAAGATCTACACGTCAGTTCAATACCTCCAATCGAGAGGCGGCAGGTGTCGCTTCTCCAAGCAACGTACCAAATGCGGGAACCCCACGCCAGCCCTAAGGCTGATCTCGACAGATACAGGGTGCTCGAGCCAAAAGATCGGCCGAACAAGGTTTAAGCCTACTATTCGCTTCCGCTTCTGTTCCGGGTTCTGCGCCACACAGCATGGACGCGTTCGCGAAGACACGAAAAATAATAGCTACGGGGAAAGTTCCTGCTACGAGTCAAAATGCCAGACCAGTATGGAGAACAATCGCTAAAAACGTCATGCTCGAAATTGAGGCACCCGGTAACTGAAACAGTTTCGACTTTTATATAGCCTTCGCGGTCGCGTCGTGAGTCGCCCAACCCCACCGATGTTTTGAGCACGGCCGTTGGCAATTCGAAACTATTGTTTCGTGTCGGCCGTTGCCTCACGACCGCGCACGCGAGCGAAAAGCCCATGTAGCCATTTCACAGACAGCAAATCTCTTCTTTACCCCTTATCTCACTCCCCCAGAGTACTAGAAGCCTGATCGTCGCGGCCCGTGACGCGTAAAGTCTAATTAATTCCAATCAAGAACACGAGGCTTCTTTTGGAGCGGAATGGTGTGTAGAAGCAGAAGCGAGCCTGTTTCCCAGGACGCGACGTGCCGTCCATGGACTTCCTCTTCAAGGCTGTATTGTGCCAAATTATGTGCAGCCCCAAACACGTGAGACTGCTCGTGCGAAATCTTACTGCCATTCCACTCTATGAGCTCGCTGCTCATTGCATCACCACGAAGTGACGTAGGGTAGATGGTTAAGTTCTCTCTGGTGGCTTGATGGCTTGGGGTGCCTCTTCGTATCATGACGGTACGTGGAGAGTCAGCCAACACCAGTACCGAGAGTAACCAACGCTCCGGCAGCAAGCTCATCTCTCGGTTACTAGACCCTGACGCAATTGCAGAATCCCAAAATTTCATAAAGAATGCTATTTTAAACCCGTCTCAGTACCGAGTATGCATGTTGCGAGCCAGACTGTCTCAAGCAGAGGTGGGATGATCTACACTCGAGAGATCCATGGGTAGCATCCGGTAGTGTGCGATAAGGACCATAAGGCTACGGGTTAGGCCGACGTTAGACGCCTATCTCGAAAGCACCACTATGAGGCACAGCAGCCAGTGTCAGACTTTGCGATTGAGTTTCGTACTGTGTACGATGTAAATATCTGAACGAACAACTTATGATCGTCACGAAATCTCCGTGACCTCCCATTGGACGGAGATGCAAGGCGGGAGCGGAGACCTGGTGGGCTGTCTGCCGAGAGATCCCGCTGTGGAGAGATTGTATGCCTGTCAGACACGGAGACACAATGCTACAACGTGGATAGGCAAGAATTCCAAAATACCGGTTCCCCGTTCGGCACACGTCGCTGACTGCTGCCAGTCTAAGCACAGCTCCATCATTTACCGTTTGGGATTTTCCACGATAAGAGCAACACGACCATCACGGTAGTTTCACACGAAGAAGATGACAGCATTTCCAGCAAACCATTCGCAGTGATCATCGATGACGATCATGCAGGGCTTATGTATAAAAATATTGGTGGCTCAGTACTTGTGGCCAATCAGCATAGGCATTCTCAACGTTTGCGCTAGCAGGCTACAAACTCCCCTCATTCCAAGATTCTGGGGATCTACATCATCGGCCGTCTCAAACGGCAAGCCGTGATGAAGGGTCGCCAAAAACTACCAGGAAATGCGCCGAAACTTCTGTCAAGGTATGTGAAGTGGCCTAGAGGTTTAGCCTGCGGGCAGAAGACACCCTCGGTCAGATTCCTTCCTCTGGAGACCCAACAGGCCCCCGGAGATCACACCACTTGCTGCGCATCTGTCAGCTTAATGGAACGATACTTTGGATGTATGCAACGCGACACCGAAACCGATTTTGGTAGGTTCGCTCTCGCATCAAATTCGCTCCTCCGACCATGTCCTGTCTGGCAAGGAGTTCCTAGATGATTACTTGCAGCTCGAGGAGCTCCGTGGGTCGCCGGAGTACCGCATCGTTGTTCGGCATTATTTCCACCCAAACAACCTTGCAGACTGTGCGGAAGCCCTATCGAATCTATTAGCACGATTGACTACGCCCACATAGGCAAAAGTCTCGCGGTTGTATTACTTCCGCGAGTTCGCGCTACCATTTGCATGCACATCTAGGTGTAATATGTTCCTTCGCTATCGGCCCCTAAGCATCACTTCATCTCACTAGTCTCCACATTTTGTCCAATCGCACTGCAAGGCGATACATGGTGGCCATCAGCCTCTGGCTGAGCTTACGGCTCAGAATCGAAGTTTCAGACTGTGAGCATGGCTCAGCTTCTCACTTTGCACAACCAAAACTTCGCCAGGCAGCTCCCGTTGCTAGGCGCTAGCTAGTACCATTGACAGCGGATGCTTAAGTCACTTGTGGCGTTCAAGGCATATTCCAGGCTTCTTCCAGTGCATTGATGTATGAGCGATGATGATATGATCGATGTTTACTTCTGCAAGTTAGAACCACAACATGGAGACTCGACGATTCTCATCTAGCGCACGCGCACCATTTGCAGTCGCAACTCCGGTGTTCTCGAGGCTACCTTGGTCGATTGTAATGTCCGAAATATGGTTTCTACTGGTACTCGGATCAAATTCGTAGGCGCGTGTTTCCATTCTGACGAAATGCAACATTTTTGACTTCCTTTTCCTTGGCTCGACTAGTTGCACTGCGTAGATTCACATTTGACAGATCATACAGCATTCAATGATATTCAGACTAGTCTTCATCACACGGG